TGTCCAAACGTTTCCCCCCCCCCCCCCCCATGTTTGTTTTCATGTGTGCTTTGTATTTGTTCTAAATTTGTATACACATGACAATATTTTTTAATACTTGTTATCTTTTATGCTAAAATCAGTAAAGGTTAATGTCTTATTGTTATGCCACTTGATCTAGAAATCATCCTGTGAATGTGAACATAATACCTGTGGACCTAGCTGTGACCGTTGTTGTCCTGGTTTCCACCAAAAGCCTTGGCAAGCAGGAACATTTCTCATAAAGCATGAATGTGAACGTAAGTAAAAAATTGAATCAACTTGTGTGATAAATATGGATGTATGACATGCAGTCTGGCACACAATGCCCAAACACAGAAAAACATTTTCTATAATCTGTCCCCAAGGACTTATTTTTCCATGGTAAAGTGTTTGCTTTCTATAAGGCAGCAGGTACAATCAAGGCTTTAATCATGAATAAGCTCAACAGACAATACCTACAGAAAAAATGACAAAAAATAACTTTTTATTTCACAAAAATAGGAATTTATATGTATTAACCACTGTAAAATAAACACACTAATAAGCGCACAGTTTATTTCCCTATTTTACACATAGGCTCTGCTCACCAACATATTGAAAAACACAGACTTAAAGTGACATTAAACCCTCAGATTTTTTAACATAAACCAATACTGTAATGTGCACCTTACTGTAATCCATGGTTGTTTCCCTTCTCTTTGCGGCTCTTCCTTTTAAATCTGTATCTCTTCTCATGCTGGGCAGAACTTCTGTTTTGAAGCAGACTGCCTTGTCTCTGGAATGGCTACATGGTGTCTGTGTATAGGTTTGCAACCTGAGCCAGCACTACAGGAAGAGGCAGTCAGCTGCAAAGGGAAGTTCTCCCCGAGCATGAGAAGATATGAGGATTTAAAAGGAAGAGCAGCAAAGAGAAGGGAAACTACCATGGATTACAGTAAGGCACACATTACAGTATTGTTTTATGTTAATGTCACTTTAACTTGAGAACCTGGGTTGTTGTAAGGGATATGGAAGGGAATCCTTCCAAAAACGCCTTCATCATCTTGTGTGATAACATACAAAGAGCCACTTTACTGTTGCACAACTCAATAATATCATGCATACGGAGCCACACATAAGAATTGTCATTGGTATTTAATGTGTTTCATACAGCTGGAACAGACCCAATAACGTAAACCAAATATTATACAGCCATTAAAGTACAAGAATACTAACAGAGCAACAGTAGTGTACTTTTTCCTTGTGTGCTTCATCTTGGGCCCAGGTTTAGTTACATTAACCATTTGATGACCAGCATGTTAAACCCCCTTCCTGCCTAGGCCATTTTTCAGTTTTCATGCTGTGATACTTTGACAATTTTCTCAGCCATGTAACACTGCACCCAAAAAACTTTTATATATTTTAAACAGATAAAGCTTTCTTTTGTTGGTATTTAGATTTTTTTTAAACTATATCAAAGCAAAAAAAGACAAAAAATGTTGGAACAATATTTTGTTCTGGAGGCCCTGAAATGCCAGGACAGTACAAACACCCATACAATGACACCTATTTTGAAAGTAGACACCCCAAGGTATTTAGTAAGAAGCATGGTGAGTTTTTTGAAGTTATAATTTCTTCCCACCATTTTTCGAAAATAAAGTAAATGAAATGTGTATTTTATTAACAAAGTTATTTTAACAAGTTTTTTCTCATGCACATCATGGGCATGCTTAGAACTACAACTCAAAACAAATTTTTCTACTCCTCCTGAGTATTGGAATACCACATGTGAGAGACTTTTTTTTGCTGCCCAGGTACATATAGGGGCTCAAAATCCAAGGAGCACCTTCAGGCTTTCAAGACTGAAGATCTGACTACCTATGAAGTTTCCTGACTACTTATTTTATTTCCTGAGGCCTTGAAGTACACAGACAGTATAAACACCCACAAAATTACCACATTTTGGAATTTAGAAAACCTCAGATTTTGGTAAAGAATTTGATGAGCAGCCTACATTTTTGGAGCCTAGCAAATGCAGAGTTACTGCTAGATGGGCACAGAGAATTGGCCATTGAATGCAAAAATCTTATCAATTTATATTGTCTCCTGGATATAACTGAAGAATATATGGCCATGTGGTGAATTAGGTGGGTAGACCAACACAATTGCAGTGTTTTTTTGCCCCATGTTTAGAGTCAGGCAGAGAAATGTTTCTTAATCTGTGATAGGCTGTAACCCCATAATAATTTGGAGACTGCAGAAGTCATTTAAAGTTGCATTTTTAGTTGAATTTTGGGAAACCATGTGGAACATTGATTGTGTTGACCTATTTCAATTGTTTTTCTTTCATTTGTTCATTGCAGGCAGCTGAAAGTTTGTAAATTTTGCATTAAACCTGATTTCCAGATTTGACCAAATCTGGAAATGATCATTTAAAATGAAATTTTACAGGAATGGTAGTGCTGGGCAGGGGACCTACTTAATACTTTCCCTGGGTTCACCAATGACTCAAAATGGCCCTGCTCTGCTGCCCTAGTATGCTATTTTTCAATTTTCCTCTTTACCATTACCCATTACCTGATATGGCTCAACAAATGTGAAAAAGTGAATAAAAACGTCTAACCTCTTCCTAACCATCTCAAGACCAGAGCCATTTTTCATCTTTTACACACAGTAAAATCATAATTTTTGGATAGAAATGTACTTTAAAACCCCAAACAATTATATATTTTCTGAAAGCAGAGTCCCTGTAGTATACAAAAATGATAGCTGCAATTTTTAATGTAGCACAACATTTGTGCAAATGTTTATCAAATCAATAGTTTTAGGGAAAGAAATACACCAAAAAAATTTAATACACGCATACACAATATAAATTCCATCTTTTTGGGGAAAATATAAAAGATGGGGCTCACTTCAAGTAATATGAAACATGTCAATCCTTAGAATTGCAGACACCCGTACAATGGAAAAAACTATGATACTCAAAATTGTCCATAGGTGAGGCTTTAAAAGCCTTAACTCTAAAATGATTAGCAGTAAACAGCGAACTATGGCCCTAGACTTATTGCTCTCGGTTTATGGTAATACCTAACATGTGTGCTGTAATTTGAGTTTACATGCATGTATGTGCCCTACGTGCACTTTTGCATTCACATACAAATGGTCAAATGGTGGAAGCTGCAGGGTTGCTTTTCATTTTTTTATTTATGTCACTGCTCCTTGATGTTTAGAAGTTTTAGCTTCCTGCAGAATTAGCTGGTCCCATGAGCACTGGCCCTGATATCCTATTTAAGGTGACTAATTTCCCTGCAGGGTCCTATAAAGCCACCCCTGTGTGCTAGTAACATGTGTTTGTCACCACAAACACACAGGCATGGAAAGGCAAACCACTCCCCTGCTCCCTCCTCTTTCCTTCTTCAAACTAGTAGATGGACAGCTGCTGGAGTCTGTGCTAGACTTTTTTCTTTTACTCTTTTACTGAACAGGAAGTTCAGGGAACCAGAGCTGAGAGAGTTGGGGCTAGCTGAAATTCAGCTTAAATATGATGAAATGACTGTAAAGTGTTTGGGCAAAAATTTCAAGAAATACTTTGCTGGGCAATGTATACCTTTTAATCCCAACTTTAGAGTCTTTGTTGTTATCTTTTTTTGTTTTTGGGAATGTATTACTTCACAGTTTGAGCATCTAAAAGCTGTATAGTATGAAATCAAAGAAAGAGTATTAATGTACTGTACTTCAATTGCAATGTCAATAGTTGAGCAATGACTCAAAGAGCAGATAGCCCTTATGGCCATAAGATTTAACAAATAGCCCTATGGGTTAGCAGAAAAAAATTACACCACATTCAGTGTCATCATGTGTCATCCAGTGATTAGAAAATAGTGCTCCACTCCCCCAGGCAAGCCTTTTACGCTCACCAAGCAAGTTTAGCTTGGAGAAAAATCCTCTGGCAACTGCAGTGCACCTAGGGTCACACCAAGCTGTTCCTCCAGATACCACATCATAAAGAGCATACCAAAGCCTGTAACTCAACACCGAAAAATGCTGTAGAATAAATGGTTTCCACTTCGAAAAGAAATTGCGGTATATTGGTCAGGATCTAAAATATCCTCAAGCCTTTCCCTCTACATTAGTGACCTTAAAGTGTTGAAAAGACGGTGGTTGCAGGGGGAGCCCTAAGTAAACTCCCTGCCTTCTGGGTTACATAATCTCCAGATATCAAAAATGTTAAGGTCGGATTGAAATTGTGCAAACTGTGTGAGTGATGATGGGGAAAACAGTAGCTTTAGTAGTAGTTTGATCCTCCCACATCAGAAAGTACCACATTTATACCATAACCAATAATCTTATTTGCAACAGCATCTTTCAGTATCCAAGTAGAAAGAGAATTAGATAAGTCATTAGGGGGTGAATTGGGAGCATAAACATTATATATGGCATATTCCTCGCCTTCAATGGTAATATGAAGCTTCATTAAATAACCATCCGTATCCCTGTCAATGGAAATAACTTTATAAGAGAGAGCTTTGTGGAACAGGATGGCTACACCCGCCTTTCTCCTGGCAGAAGGGGAGCCAATAACTTCACCCACCCACAATTTTGCAGTCAAAAAAAATCTGCCTATTACTGGTGGATTCTTGTAAGAGGGCAATGTAAGTTTTCAATTTAGGAAGATATTGTTGAATTCTAGTGCGTTTCTGAGGGGAACGCAGACCTTTAACATTCCAGGTAACTACATTAATGGTGGAATATGCAGCCATAAGGAAGTAAAGGGGAGGAAGGTCTATGCATATGTTGCACAAAATTCATTATGGGAGAAAAGAAAAGAGAAGGGCGCCCACCCTAGTGTAGATGGTTTTTAATAATGTGAGCTAAAGTACAAGGTAAAAACATACTCACAAAGGAGAATCAGTAAAATCATATGAGATGAGCCAGAACGATATCTGAATATCAGCTGCACAGATGCCTGTGTATCAACACAGGACTCCTTTTGATGACGCGTTTCCGGGGCCACGCCCCCTTCGTCAGAACATGACCAATGCCTCACTCATGCAGCAATATAAGGAGATGTGAATCGTTGAAAGACCAATGAGCGAAGCTCAATGATGTAAGAACAAGCCTCTAAGGGCGGCGTCGGATTAACATAGCTGAGTGCAGCTGTTCTTCCGGCTTCTATCACTGAAAGCGGGTGTGAAGCCGATTAGCCAATCAGTGGCCTCACAGGGCCGTCCAGCCCTTAATCTCTCTCTCACTGTGCTGACAGGCAAAACGATCG